TTGACCACCCTTCAGCAAAATTTAGCTTCCAGTGGGCACCAGTTTGTCTTATATTATGACTATTCGGAAGTATTTTTCGGAATTTTTTTGGAACAAGTTTTATTTAATAAAAACGTACAACAAAAAAAGTTTAATAATCAATTTTTTCCTTCATCCTCTTACACTGTTATCTTCTTTCCCAGAAGTTCCGGAATGATAACATGTTTGAAAAAAATTGTCGCCTTGTCTTTACAGTAATTCCAAAAAACATTATTTCTCTTAACCTCAAATATGAGTGTCTGATTTGGAGTCCAGATGTAAAAATACCCGAAAGATGCTTGGGCCACATGGACTTGCATCAGAGCCTGGTAATAATATTTATGCCTAGTGTTTAGGCAGATATTTTGATTTTCATCCTTAATATATATGGATCGTTTAGATTAAGCAACACATCTAACGTATCTGTGTTTCTTCTAGCAGAGTAAGGACATTTGACCTCCACTGTTATTGACCCATGGCAAGAGCAACGAAAAACAGCATCTGGAGATGCTCCCAAGTGTGGATTATCTGGTGATATTATCAATCCCGTCTTATGCTTTGTTAAGTTTTGGTGCACTTCTGAAACTGATAAAAAAAAGCTTATCAACTGCACTTCCTTCATGCCTAAGACCATATTTCACAGATGGTGAAGAAAAACTCATCTGCTCCGGATAGCACACTCTTTTAACAAGCGATAAAGATGGTTTAACTAGAGAAGTATTACAAACGTCCTTCAAAACGGACGCGGTGATACGACCGCTTCGAACCGAATTCCACCACTTGCACTTGCTTTGCTCAACGGTGAGCTTTTCAATATCGGCAATCACTTCTGGATCCCGGGGCAATCGCTCAAAAATTCTTACAGCCATTTTCCGCAGCTCATCGAGACTTTTGGTTTGGTTGGCACTGTTGAATAGTTGTTGCAAAAAGAAGTCTTGTATAGTTTGTTTCACACAATCATCCTCCTTGCATGGCAAACATTTGAAATCGATAGACGCATCGCAACAGAACTGCGACATGGCAGCTACTTCACAGCCATCTTCCTGAATCAGAAGCAACAAGTCTCGGCACCGCGAATCGAATGAAACTTCGGATTGCTGAACGGAATAATCTCGAGCTATTTTCCGCCCGAAGTTGATTTCAGACAACTTTTTATAAAGGTCCTCGGTGATGGCACTCGGTGGCTTCTTCCAATAAGCCGGAAGATCCGTGACGGATAGCTGGAAAAATAACCGTATAATAATAATAATGAATTTAATTTTATGTAAACACAATGGGAATCACCTTCTTCTCAAAAACGGCTACACGGATTCCATCGAGGGCAAATAGCGTTGCACCTATGTGGCTACAAGCTTCCATGATTCCGATGGCACACGTACAGTGGGCCGCTAGTATGGTGCCTTCCTCGTTAATTACTATCCACGGCTGCAACGGTTTCTCCTTCAGCGCAAACGAGTGGTGCACAAATCCGTGAACAACATGAACATTTTGAACTTTTGCTCCTGCTACATTTTTTACCCAGCCATTCTTAAAGTAAAGGATTGCGTCCATGGCCTTCGAACAATCCTTCGGGTTACCGGAAAAAGGACATGGATCCACCACCAAAAACTGGTAGATTTTCGCAAATGTCACATTCAACGGAATGTTTTTTTGTGTAACCTTTATACTGTAGGGATCAAGTCCATGGCAAAACCCTTTCTTTTGTTGATATCGATCCGTGGCTTCAGTTGAATCCTATAAATAATTAGAAATAATCAGCATAGTTTTTCAATATCCATAATTATAAATAAATTTGGCTGCATTTCTTACCATTTTTCATAACTGTTGACAGGAGTTTGTTTTGATTTGTTTCCTCACTAACACTAACTCCAGCATTCAGCGATATCACAACTACTTAAAAAGGTAGGGCGCGGTCTCACGCACACTTTTGTGCATCTGGAGAACTCTATAGGCTGCAGTGCTTAACATAGTTGCCCAACAACCATGTTCCTCCAGTAGATTTCATTATTTTGCATGGTTTGGGAGGCGAGTAAAATGCACAGGTAATGATTGCCATTCTGTATCCTCCTTTCGACAGAAATACACTCGCCGATAAATTTCCGAGTCCGGCAAAAAATTTGAGGAAGTCGTTTGATTCGTTCTTGCTGTGTATAACATAAAAATAAGATCATTCAGTTGGAATCAATCAACACAGATCCACAACATTTGATAAATAATTGGAAAAATAATTCAAACAAATGTACACCGTTCTTTGTAGTATGCTTGGATTCTTTCTAGCACTTCCATTTCAAATGAACCTATTGACTCGAGTTTCGAATTTTTCTTTTTGCTGGATGGCATGAATTGATCCAAGCCTGCATCACGAATGGCGTTGGCCAGCTTCAGTATTAGTTTTTTCTCCCCTCTGAGAAAAGTAAATTTTTCCGAATTTTCTGCGTAAATCCCGTACATTTCACGCATTTTCTCCGAGCCGAGGTTCACGCATGCTCTTATATCGACCTCTATAGCACCAAGATCTTCGTCCGTGATGTTGCCAAGCATAGCGTTACCGGCGCATCCTTGGAACTCAAGAATGCGCTGGAGATTGAGAGGAACAACTCCTATTAATAATTGTATTTTCTCCCAGAAACACCGGTATATTTCCTGCAGGTTCTTAATTTAACTAGTTTCATTACAAGTTCTTTCTATCAAAGAACCCAATATTCAAATTTAAAAAAAAAAATATTAGAATAATAGTGAAGGGTATTACTTGCCTCTCGTGTGACATCCATTTTTGATTAAACGAATGTCAAATGTACACTTAAAACCAAAAATAGTCAAAAATAAAAAAACAACTGTCAGACTTAGTATGACATTCACAAAAATTAAAATATTTAATATTTCCACCATCGGTATTGATGCTTATACTTGGAGCTGGCCTTCCCCTAGGTCAATGGTTATAATTAAGTTGTGGCAATGGACAAGTTGAAGGCTATACCCGAGTAGCACACTTTCATCACAATAAGTTACAGCAACTTGTTAATGACTGAAATCAGTCGTATATAAGTTTCTACAATTGATTTGTGACAAGCGTGCTACAAGGGTATTGCAATGATGTCAATGATAAAGATTATGGAGGGGAAATGGCTCCAATGTTGGCCTATGGATCTAAGATTGGGCCCATCGCTAAACATCTGCTATTTATCAATTGTATCTAGATGAACGCGTCATTGGGACGGTACTAATGGATAGTTTTGGTTGCTATTGAAAATTCAGTCGATTGCTGAATTTATGTATGGGTCCAAAAAAGGGACACTTAGGCCGACATTACATACATTTCCCCTATTTTTTAACTTGATGATGATGCCTTGATTTTTCAATTCTTGGCCAGGTCGCCAATCAAACAAACGAATTTGATATGTTATCCAAATCAAATACTCTTGGTCTTTTGCCACCAGAATCTCTCAAATTTTAAGTTTACTGTCTCTTACATTGGACCGTAGTTCAGTTAATTATGTCTTCTGTCCATGCAGTCGCCAAATACAGAACCCAAAAACAATGATATGTTGGGCACTATATAAACGATAAAAGCTGAATTTCACAAACAGAATTCTCTCGGCAGTTAACTGGATTCAGAAAGGATTCCAAGATAAATTACATTGATTGCATCACCCCGAAGCAGTAAACTAAGCTCAAGGAGGAGTCTACAGAGGGAGGAGAAACCCGAAGCGGTTACAATCCAGTTGTGCTGTGCATGCTTCTTCATTGTTCAAAGTAAACATTTTTCTTTAAACTTCTCACTCACAGCTCCAGCTTTCACAGCCCGAATTGAAATGACAACCGGAAAACGCAACCGGAGGGTGCAAAATTTCTTACTGTTTTGTATGTTCAGAATCTTTAAAAAATCACCGCATATACAGATTCAGGGAAAAGTTGCTAGTTTGCACTATTTGAAATGACGTTCTAATTCTTGTAAATTTTTATTCGGGAGCAGCCGACAACCCAGAGGGTTCCCTGAAAGCAATCGTAGTGCCAATCCTTTCGCACTGATAAGGAAACAATTTCTTCCTTCAAGTTCAGTTCGAATGCATATAGGGTTACGGTATTTATTTTCGTCCTGACGTTGAACCTAAAATCCTATCGACAATTGGGTTGTTTAATTTCGGAAATCATACCGAATTTTATACATCATCTGAAAGAGCTTCTTTTTCTGAGCAAAACAATAATTTTATCGATCCCATAATTTTGAAATCAAAATTCAAATTTTTAATGCTTGACACTAAATCTATTAGTTGACAGCTCGCTCCCTTCGAGGGGCGTACATCAAAATTGATGAAATTTTGGATTTTGGTTCTATTCTTGAAGCAGTTTACGAATTTGTTTTTACCTCAATACCCATAAAAAAGCCAATTGACAGTAGAAAGTTCTGCTTAAAAGGGACTAGAATGATAAAACAATTTCTCTGAGACCCGGCAAGGCTTCAATAATGGGTTAAAGCAAACGGTAGGTGCCGCAACCCTGAATGACAACACAGTGCCCACTTCTGATGAAGCAAAAAGAAAAGTTACTGCTGGAATCAGTAATGCAATTTAAAACTGAGCAAAATTCAATTTATAAACTTGCCTTCTATCTCCGCTAGACCATTGGCGATACAGTAGAATGACAGCTTTCATTCTCTTTCTTCCTCTACCATCACCAGGATTGGATGGGGAAAAGAAAAGCTGACACTGCATCCGCCCGTCAAGTGATTCAATTTCGATGCAGTATGAGATATTCATCGCTTAGCTAGGAGCTCTTCGCCATAAAAGATGACTGCGAAATACTGCACCCACTATTCCTTTGATCTTCCAATGGTCTAATGGAGTCGCTTTGAACCCAGGAGGAAGCAATCATAAATCTTTCAAGTATGTATATATTGATTGTAACGAGTACTTCGTCGGCAAAATTTCCACGTCGGTAGTTTTTATCCATTATGAAATTCCAATCACTCGCGGAGAACTCACCTTGAAACGAAAACCAAAGGTTCACCAGGAAGGGATGTTCCAGTGTGGCCAGCAGATCGACTTCCTTGAGGACCCCTCCGAGGGCCCCCCGACCGATGCAGGCACTGCGGCTGACGTATTTCATGGCGAAGAGATTGCCATTGTCGCGCTTCTGGACGATGCACACCTGGGGAAAGAGATGGGGAAATTCCGGATCAGTTAAAGTCACATTGCGTTCGGAGCTTCGAAATATACATTTATATGTATGGAATAGCGGTAAGTTCAGAAACAACTGACATTGCGAGATCTCTTGAAACTTCACGAACATTGTTTAGGGGTATTTAGGTAAATACATATTCGTAATTTGTATTGAACCTGGAACTGAAATCCAAAATTTTATCATTATCCGTGCACTGGAACTATTTTAAATAAATGCGATTACATTACCAAAGATCACCTTCTTAGCGCCCCTCGGTGGGACTTTGTACGGGAGTGAGCTAATCTAGAAGCTATTAGCGTACGGGGCAACAATCACGAATTTCGACGGAGCTGACTGCAATAGACTACTCTTTCTAGCATTCCGCACTGCGATGCAGTGTGAAAGAGTGAGCTGTTTTGATCTGTCATGTTAGTTCCGTTAGTTAGTTATCACTGTCAGTTTGCCCAAAATTGTCAAAATTATGTGAGCCATGGTGCATCTACATGTGGTTGACAGGTATAAAGTCCCCCAGATCTAGCGTCAAAAATTAAAAATTTCAATTTTGATTTAAAAATCGAGATGAATGTCTATGGGATCGATAAAAATATCGTTGTGCTCAGAAAATGAAGTTCTTTCAGATGATGTCCAGAAATCGGTATGTTTTTCGAAATTAAATCACCCAATTCTCAACTATATACCCTTGACTTTCAATTATTCATTCATATTCCACGATCTACGTGGAATACGGCCCTCAATTATCGATTCCCGATACTCGATTTCCAATTCTCGATTACCAATTCCCGAACCATCAGCTGTGCCTTCTTCATCTATTGCACAAACGAAAACTTTCAAGATTTCACTCAGCAAACAACGCAAACAACCGTCAACGAGAAGAAAGGCGAGCAAATCGTTATTAATAGCGACCCATTTCTCATCCTCAACAAACCGTCGCAACATCGCAACTGTAAACTGGCAACACCCGGCTTCCAGAAGCAGGAAAATATAAATAAAAAATATAAATGCCATTGTTTGTGTGCCTTTTTTTTCATCCTTTCACAAATACTTCAGAGGAGAACCCGTTTTTCATGTGCTAACTCGTTTATCACCACCATGTTGCGCATTCCACGGCCGACCCGAAGCTACCTTTTCCCTATTAAGACGATTTTGCTGCCAACCGCAAACAGTTTATAATAATTTCGGTCAACCACTGCAATATGGTATGACACTTTTATGAGGGAAGGTATACTTTAGTACGAGATTTAAACCTTTGAAGCTTTTCCGTAGGAATCGAATTTCCAACCCATCGTCATTCCACATATTTTCTATTTTCCTCAAGCTTGAAACACAATTTTGTTCTCGTTCCCATTCCGAAGCAATACAATAGACGCTTCCAACGAAAAGATTTGCAGTCGATAATGATGCTAAAAATAGAACCAAGAGACAAATGAGCAAGGATATTCTCCTCTGTCACTACTTGCTACTGCTCAGGGCTAGAAAAGCAACATGAATGGGCAGCTGATTCCTGGAAGAACAAAATCGTTTTAATGCAGCTTCATTTATTTCCCACAAAAGGAAGTATGAATGAAGTCTTGCGGAAGTGGAGCTTATGGAAGCAGGAAGTGATGGACTGGAAGTGGTGACAGGATGAAAGATGCTGGTAACAGATTAAATGGGCTTTCACGATACAATTTGTCAAATTTGTGAATTTGACAAATTATGAATTTGAAAAATCTATAAATAAGTATTAAATTTCAATAAGACCGTTTTCTCAATTTCTAAATTTTTCAATTTGTCTTTATGTTAATTTATCATTTATTATTTCGAAATTCGTCAATTTGTTCTTCATTTTTTTAAATTTGTCAGTTGGTTATATTTGTCATTTTCGTTCAATTTGTCATTTATTTTTTTAATATTTAAAATTTGTCAATTTGTCAATTTATTCATTTGACAAATATTCCAATATGCCAAATTATCAGTTTTTCAATATGTCAATTTGCCAATTTGTCAATTTGTCAATTTGATGACCCAAGTAACAATAAAGGTTTTATAAGGGTTCTGTAGACCATGATTTAGTCATGTAGCATGCTTTAAACCCTCCATAAAACTTGCAATGTTACTTGGGAATATTCCAATTTTTTAATATTACACTTGGTTTTATTTTCAATTTATAAATTTTTAATGTTTGCAATTAAAAAAAATTAATGTTTACAATTTGTCAATTTGTCAATTTCTCAATTTCATCAATTTGTGATTTGTCAATTTCGGCAATTTGTTAATTTGTGAATTGAAAATTTGAAATTTATCAATTTTTAATTTTGTTATTTTAATCAGTTTTGTCAAATTGCCAATTTGTCACCTAACACCATTTTATGCTGAATGCTTAATAAGCCAATATGCAGCATAATCTCTTTTCAGCCATCATTGTTTGCTGAGCAATTTATCAACTTGCCATTTTGTCAATTAGCAATTTACAATTTTTAATTGATCAATTTCGTCGATTTGCATATTTTTCAATTTGTAATTAATTTTCAATTTATCAATTTGTCTGATTAGTCATTTTGGTCAATTTGTCAGTTTGTCGTATATAATTTTACCAATTTCTTGGATTTGTGGTTTGTCAATAAATAAATATACAGATTTGCCATTTCATCATTTTCGTTCATTTTTCATCCTGCAGCTTCATAAAGATCTCAATCAGGTTTCATTGTAAGTTGGGAAAATTTTCAATTTGTAAATTTGTCAATTTGAAATTTTTGAACTCATACATTACTAATCACCCTGCAATTAATTAATTTGTCAAATTGTTAATGTGTAGAATTTGGAAAATTTGGCAAATCTTTCAAACTTGTCAATCTGTTTGACATTTGAAATTTGAAATTTGAAATTTGAAATTTGAAATTTGAAATTTGAAATTTGAAATTTGAAATTTGAAATTTGACATTTGAAATTTGAAATTTGAAATTTGAAATTTGAAATTTGAAATTTGAAATTTGAAATTTGAAATTTGAAATTTGAAATTTGAAATTTGAAATTTGAAATTTGAAATTTGAAATTTGAAATTTGAAATTTGAAATTTGAAATTTGAAATTTGAAATTTGAAATTTGAAATTTGAAATTTGAAATTTGAAATTTGAAATTTGAAATTTGAAATTTGAAATTTGAAATTTGAAATTTGAAATTTGGAATTAATTTTTTTTTCTTTATTTGTTTTCCGTTAATCTTGTTTTCCGTGCTGAGCACCAATACTACCGACGACATGGAGGCAGCTCCCACACCTGGACCCTACCTATCGACCCATCAACTCATGAACCGGGGACCAACGGCTTTACTTCCCTCCCGAAGGAAGGCGTGATCAGAAATGTTATGCCTCAGAAAATCCCGGCGGCACCGACTGGGATTGAATCCAGGCCTGCTGGGGTGAGAGGTAATCACGCTCACCATAAATTAAAAATATCGAATTTGGAATTTTGAAATAAGAATTAAGAATAAGGAATTAAAAATATGGAATTTGGAATTAAGAACGTGGAAATTGGAAATAAGACTTTGGAATTTGTAATTTCAAATTTGGACACAAGGAATTTGGGATTTGAAATTTGAAATTTGGAATTCGGAATTCGGCATTTCGAAAAAGGAATTATGAATTTGGAGTTTTGAAATTGAATTTGAGTTTAGAATTCGGACTTTGGAATTTGGAATTTGGAATTTGGAAATTGGCATTTGGAAATTGGAATTAAAATTTGAAAGTTTGAAATTTGGATTTAAGAATATATTATTTGGAATTTGGAATTTAGAATTTGGAATTTAGAATTTGCAATTTGGAATTTGAAATTTGGAATTTGGAATTTGGACTTTGAAATTTAGAATTTGGAATTTGGAATTTGGAATTAGGAATTCGGAATTTGGAATTTTGAATTAAGAATTTGAAATTTGAAATTTGGAATTAAGAATTTGGAATTTGGAATTTGTAAGTCGGAATTTCAATTTTGGAAAATTGTATTTTGGAAATTGAAATTTGGAATTTGGAATTTGGACTTTGTAATTTTGAGTATGAAATATGGAATTTCGATCTTGGAATTTGGAATTTGGAATTGAAATTTGAAAATAAGAATTTGGAATTAAGAATAAAGAATTTGGTATTTTGAAATTAGAATTTGGAATTAAGGAATAAGGAATAAGGGGCTTGAAATAATAAACTTGGAATTTTTAATTTGGAATTTGACATTTCGAAAGTGGAATTTAAATTTGGAACTAGAAACTTGAAATTTGGATTTTGAGATTTAGAATTTGGAATTTGGAATTTGAAATTTGGGTTTTGGGATTTAGAATTTAGAATTTGGAATTTGGGATTTGGAATTTGGAATTGGGATATTGGAATTTGGAATTTAAATTTTGGAATTTGTAATGTGGAATGTGGAATTTGGAATTTGGAATTTGGAATTTGGATTTTGGAATTTGCGATTTGTAATATGGAATTCGGAATTTTGATGTTGGAATTTGGAATGAAGAATTAAGAATTGGGAATTAAGAATTTGGAATTAAAAATTTGGGATTTCGATTTTTCGGAAATAAGGAACAAGGAATTTGAAATTTGAAAATTGCGATTTTAAATTTGGAAATTTGAATTTTGAATTTGTAAATGAATAATTCTGAATTTGAAATTTGGGATGTGGAATGTAGGACTTGGACTTTCAAATTTAGAATTTCGAATTTGGAATGTAAAATTTGGAATTTGGAATTTGGAATTAGGAATTAAGAATTAAGAATATGAAATTTGAAATTTGCAAATAAAAATTTGGAATTTGGAATGTGGGATTTGGAATTTAGAATTTGAATTAAGGAATTAGTGATTTGAAATCAATTTTTTTTTAGGAATTTGGCATTTGGACGTTGAATTTTAAATTTGCCCATAAATAATTCGGAAGTTGGAATAAGGAATTCTTAATTTGGACTTTGGAATCCGGAATTTGGAATTTGGAATTAAAATTTTGAATAAAGGATTTGGAATTTGGAAATAATAATTTGGATAATAAAATTGCAATTTTAAATTTTGAATTCGGGTTTTTGGAATTTGGAAATAAGAATTTTTAATTAAAAATTTGAAATTTGGAATGTGGAATTTGTCATTTGTCATTTGGAATTTAGAATTTAGAATTTGGAATTTGGATTTCGGAATTTGGAATTTGGAATTTGGAATTTGGAATATGGAATATGGAATTTTGATTTTGGAATTTGGAATATGGTATTTTGAAATAAGAATTTAGGAATAAGGAATAAGGCATTTGAAATAAGAAACTTGATATTTTTAATTTCGAATTTGGCATTTCGAAAGTGGAATTTGGAATGCATAATTAAAATGTGGAACTAGGAATTTAAAATTTGAATTTTGGGATTTAGAATTTGGAATTTGGAATTTGGATATTGGAATTTGGAATTAAGATTTTGAAATTTGGAATGTGGAATGTGGAATTTAGAATTTGAAATTTCGAATTTGGAGTTTGGAATTTGGGATTTGTGATAAGGAATTTGGAATTTTGATTTTGGAATTTGGAATAAAGAATTTGGAATTAAGAATGTGAAATTAAGAATTAAGATTTTGAAATTTGGATATAACAATTTGGAAATAAAAATTTCAAATTTGGAAATAAGGAATAAGGGTTTTGAAATTTGAAAATTGCAATTCGAAATTTGAAAATTGCAACTTTAAATTTGGAAATTGGAATTTTGAATTTGTTAATAAATAATTCGGAATTAGAAATTTGGAATGTGGAATGTGGAATTTTGAATTTTTAATTTGGAATTTGGAATTTCGAATTTGGAATTTGGAATC